CAAGTTAACTTGTATTTGCAGGCCAGCTAGGCCCGTAGCTAGACTGATCATTGGGGGTGTATATTCATATATTCGTGTTCTGCCTGAGGGATTTCTTTTGAAAGTAATTGTTAACGTTGTTACACTACATGAACATGAATATATGAATATACACCACCCCGCACCCCTCCAATTATCGGTTCTAGCTACGCCGCTGTTGCAGGCATACACTTATGAAACATGAGTCATCTTATACAGCTATACTAAATATTCTGTTTTAATTTTAGTGTTGACTCTCAACACAACATCATGCTGTGTTCCAAGGTTTCCAAGGAACTGGCTCATGAGTATGGAGGGCCACAACTGTTTTAAAAGGTATGGTGTACACAGTATTTATGGTATAAATTTGTAATTGTCTTGCCCAAGCCCAAAAAGAATATATGTGGGCTTCTGGTTTCTTCTTATAAAACTTAGGTAGGGTAGGTTGGTTTTAACTTTTTTTGAAACTTTTTTAATGTTCCAAACAAACGAACGCCATTTTGTTTAGTCAGTGCTTCCACATCCAAATATAAATTTCCCTAATATTGCCTCAAATTTCAATTTTCCACAAACTTTTTCCTCTAAGTGGAAACACTTACAAGCATGATCCAATAAAAAAGTTTAGGGTCGGGATTTCGACGTCCAAAAGCTAGGTAGGGTCTGGAAACCCACATTTTTTTGCCCCAATGGTACCCAGATATTAAAGTTCAATAAAGGGAGCTAAATGCGCATTTAATTCAGTTGATTAAAGACCGATTAAATGCGGTTAATAATGTATTTAGTCACCTTTAATATTGGTAGAAATGTTTATTAAAAACAACTTTAATCATACAATTATTTGTTGCTTATAGGTTAGTAAAGGTAAATTTAATCCGTTTGTTAAAGACCGCTTAAAGCGATATAAAGAATAAATTAATCACATTTAATACATTGATTAAACTTTGTGTAATTGCAATTTTAGTCCTATTTAGTCGCTGTATTATATTTGCTATAAGTTGCATCGCTTGGGACGTTGCGCTTTTGAAAATATTGAATTTGTGTCATATTTTCTGACAATACAATATTCATGATTACAAATCCTGGTATTGCTTGACTCAATGTTCATGCATCGATAATTTAGATGCTTGAACATTGAATGCAACATGAACTCAAATAAACAACATGCGTTCATTTTTAAAATATATTTATTAGAAAATATATATCAGTATACCCCCGTGCATGTACAAAACTAAAACTAAAATACCTTTTATATAAATTATCGTGCGCAACTGAAACATTGAATTCAACGAGAATAATTTACCATGATAACAAAAAATGCGGATGTACAAAGTCTTTAGCGTGCAGGATGCGGCCAAGCTAATCCTTTCAGGACTCGCATGGCGTTCTCACGTATGGTGTTGTTATCCGTTCACAACAGAAAACGCTATATGAAAACGGATTTGTGCAGACAAAGGCCCAGAAAAAAACCGGACCTAAAATTATCACGTTTTGTTATTGGCTTTGTAAGATAAAAGTACTTTTTTTTTACTTGTTCTTTAGAAAATTATTTTTAGCTGGCAAAATTGTTGCTAATTAATAATTTACATTGCGAATAATGCAAGTCCTTAATTTTTTTAGCGCTTTTCCTAACTAGTAGCTTTTCCCCATGTCTTTCAATTAAATAAAGAATTTTGGCAACTAAAATAAAAACAAACTAAAATATGATTACTGTCGTTCCAATTGAAGTGTTCCTCAAATATTGATTCAATACATTACCTCGGGCTGACCAATTCAAATGATCAAGTTCCTCGAGATATTCGTTGTAAACTTCCTGTTGAATAGTTTGAATGCACCAATCACCTTTGTTGTTTGTGCAACCAACCAATCATAAATAGAAAGGAAGTGACCAGAAATGATCAAATACTTGGAATTGGCTCTTTCACAGGAAGGGTATGAATATCTCGAGGAACTTGATGAAATGAATTGGTCAACCTCAGGTAATGTATTGAATCAATATTTGAGGAACACTTCAGTTGGAACGACAGTAAAAATTAATAAAGTGTGTGCATAATAAAGTCCATTAGTTACGTTTTCTAGAATAAAAAGTTCAAAATAATTGTAGTTCATCGGGGCACGTTTATATCCGTATATATAGCTGCATCATTATCCGTCATTCCCACTATAGTGGCGGATTTGTGTCAACATCTGCGACTTGTGCTGGTTCCCCTGACTCCCTTGGCATCATAAGTCTCTTTGATAGTCCAGACAGCGAATCATGCATGGTGACTCTTATCGAGTTTTCTCTTTGCTTGCCATGGTTCTCTGCTTTCACAGGTAAACTTTCGTACTGCTTAAACCTATGGGTTTCTTCGTCCGGCATTTCACTTTCGTAGGATGACATTATCTCCATGCATCGCGAGGACATCTGCAACATTTGCCACTCTTTCCTGGCTCCAGTTAAATTTTTTAAGATGTTTGAATCGTCTTTGCCAGTTTCTAAAAATGAATACAGATAATATTAGCATCATTCAAGTTTTTACCCATCATCGGGAGCTTATTACTGTAATTTATTTCATGATTGACTCGGTTTTCTTTGATGTACCACGGGCTGTATATAGCATAATGCCCTTGAATACCATACAGCCCTAATTAGTCAAGAAATAAGCGAGAAAACTAGAAAAATACTTGTCGAAATCGAAAAAAAAGAAAACTTTGTTAGAAAACCTCTTCAATCATGAAATAAGTCAGTTAATTACCTCGAATGTCGGGCTTTATGCTATATAAAGCCCTCGAACGCTTCGCGTTCTCGGGGCTGTATATAGCATAAAGCCCTCCTTCTCGGTAATTAACTCTTACATATTGCACGGTATATATAGTATACATGCAGCTAACTCAGAAAAGGTTGTCCTTCAAAAATCTCAAACCTTAAACTGTAAGCGTGCAAAGTATGAGGAGCAACTTCTTTTTACGGCTTTTGATTGCATAGGCAAATAATCCTAGTACACTGCTAGTTGTATATTATAGTGCTTATTATATGTCTTGCCATACAGTAGTTGCAATGCAAAATTCGCTAGTAAAAAGCCCAAAGTATATTGTCTGTACCAAAAGCATACAGTTTTTTTAACCCCAAATAATGCATTAGTCTGAATAGAAATCACGACCTCAGGAATATGCAGGAATTTGTACATTTCACAACTGTGAACTGATAAATCCCAGCTTATTAAAAATGTTGCTGAATTGTTAAATTTACCAGATGGCTGAGTCAAAATATTTGGCTTTCTCGGTTAAATTTAATCATAAGGGAATATATGTATCTTGTTAATTTTTGATGTGACACTGAGTGTATATCCACAACAGGCAGGCTGAAAAGTTAGCCTGACCACTGTGGGAATCGAACTCGCGACTTTGGGGATACTAGTCCAATGCTCTGCCAACTGAGCTACGAGGCCAAGTCTGTTCAAGTGTACGGTATTTCGGAACCAAGTCTAGTACCTTTGATACAAGTGTATTCTATGCATGATCATGGTGTTTTGATGTTATATCCCAGAGGTCGCAGGTTTGATTCCCACCGTGGTCAGGCTAACTTTTCAGCCTGCCCGGTGTAGAATATACACTCATGCAGAGTAGCATCAAAAACATTATATTAACCTGAGTACATAACATGCACTCCCCTGCAAAGGTAGAGCACTGTTAAAATTCCGCATATGCTTTTGGGTCAAAGTCTCTCAATTGACTATTACTTTATAAGCCACAATAGCTCCGTGTGTATGTATATGTCTAATATATATACTGAAATTGCAGCCTATCTATGTGAGGGCCTGTTTATATGGAAGCCGGGCTGGTCCGCAAGTCGACACAGCTCGGTAAGCGAGATCTCGCTGTGTAGTTATTTATATATAGTAGCCTAATAAATATTGTGAATTTATATGGACTAGCGGGCTGGCCCCGGCTCGGTTGCGGAGACTCGATCTTGCTCGAAAGAGGTGAGATCTCGCTTACTAGGATGGGAGTTTCTCCACTATATAAACACTCACAAGCGGGCTAGCCCGTTTGCCAGGATGAAAGATACCACCGCAAGATATTTTTAACTTACTAATAACAAAATATTCCCGGGAATCGGGATGAATTGTTTTCATTTAAACACAACAGAAATTCATCCCGCATACTGTGCTGTCTCGATATAAGTGGGGCAGTCCGGCTTCCATGTAAACAGGCCTAACTCTAAGTCTAATCAACTAAGGTATGAATACATTACAGTATTGAAGCGCCTCATAGTAATGCATCAAATACTAGCCATTTTAATTAGAAGCAGGTATTGCATATAATATAACTAATTCCATTGTACTGTATTTAGCTAAATTAAATGCAAATACTGGACCATATATATGTAGGCTATGGCAGGGTTTACACTGGCAGCGTTTACAATGGCAGCGTTTACACACAGCGTTTTCGTAGCGTTCTCGTATTGTTCTTAATCCTCAAGGGAACGCAAGACAATAGTCTAGTTCTCTCGAACAATACGAGAATGCTACGAAAACGGTACAGTGTAAACGCTGTCTATACGTCGTTGAATTTGAAAATGATTTCAAATTTGTCGCCAATATTTCAAACAAACTATTTTTATAACGGTCAAATGGACAAAGTATTTATATGCATATCTGTACGAAGCAATGATGCATTGTCTGGCAATTCTAAACGGAAATATACACTAATAAAACATTTTACTTACCCTGCAAGCCTTGGGCACTCTCTACATATTTTCTGACTCGCCTCCGGGTATTAGATCACAGTAAATAGAAGATTAGATGATATGCCATGAAATGCATCTTGTCATTGATCTCAGTGCTTTTTCAATCCTTGTAATCGTATAAATTGGCCATTTGTTCTCTATAGAGGAGCCTGTTTTTCTCTTCGACATTTTGCAACAGCAAAACATACTAGTCTAGTAGGGAAACGCCGGTAGTCATATCGAAATTTCAGCTAGCAAATATCGAACTGTGATAATGTGACAGCTAAGGCCAGACGTTTAATTTAAATTAAGCAACGAGAAAAGACTTCGAACTATTGTTCACAGTAGGAATCTTTCGTTGTATCAAATTTCTTCTGTACACTAGAGCGGCTAGGTCACCCACGTACAAATCAAATTCCACTTCGTCCAAAAAGCAGCGAGCAAAGTAAAAATTGGGCTTGTTAACGTATACTGAGTACTTCGAAAATTGATTCTGTCAATATTTCTTCTATAATCGTAAACGGCTTATATATTTACACCGTCAGTTGATGGAACAGACAGATAGTGTCAAGGTTACACAGCCTACAGGGTACAGTTACCCGACCGGGACAATATAAAATAGCGCGCGCGGGAAGATCGCATTCAAATTATACATACATAGAACTTCACAGCGACAGTGTAATACAACAACCTTAAGTTATGTAAAGCTTTTGGTAGTATACCTTGCGCAAAGCCGGTTGAAATGGCGCATTTTAACCAGCATCCCACACAGCAAGTGATGCACTTGCTACCAGTGGAATGCGCAGCCTTCTGGAAGCTACAATGATCCCAGTGCTACCAGAAGCTGAACAGAATTGTTTATCTGCAAAACAGTGACGTCTCTCAAGACCAAGAACTACGTCTTAAACGCCGCACACGTAATAAAAATTTGCGAGAAAAATGCCACAAAGAATCTGTAAATGCCAAACATAAAGGCGTCTCACCAATAAAATAAAGAGTCAGATGATAACGAGATCAGGCCGCAACATCTCAGTTACGATCGAGGACAGTGTATTATTTTATTGGAAAAAGTGCAAAGACGAAATATCCTTTCGTGCAACGATCGACTAGCTGTGGGTAAGTATACATATAGAAATTGTATATAGTTCCTCTGTCGTCTGTCTGAAGCTGGATGACATTAATTTTATACTGTTGTTTATAATATAAATAGCCAGAGAATAATATACTCAGCTTTTGTTTACTATATATTGAACGTATTATACTGTAACCGTAGCCCTTGTCCATATCGTGCTATATATAATTACCGCACTTTGTCTTTGGCGATTAAACTTGTACATCAACAAAATCAACTCATGTTAAAGCATAATTAATTAAAGCGAATTTGCGCTGTAACAAGTAAACTTCTTGTGTTATCTCACAATGCTTATAAGCGCCTAAATTCAGGTGTGAAGATGCTAAGAAACGTGTCACATTCTATGTTTATGCTGCGATATTAAACGTTGCTTTAATCCTATTAAAATATCGACAGTAGGTGTAAGGTTTTGTCTTCACTTAAGATGGTGATTAAATGTTACTTCTGCCTTTAATCAACATTAAACCGTACGTTAAAGGTCATTAAAGTATGGCGCGCTTCAATGTTGGTTTTAAGCCGCTTTAATATCCTCACTAAATGCAATTAAATGTATCGGTTTCCAAAAGAGGTGTTTTATTCAGACTAAATGCGATTAAATGTAATTTTTTATTTAACCACCTTTACTCAGCTTATTAAAGGTGTAAACACACATTTAATATCTTTAGTATTTTTGCTAAAGCTGATTAATGACACGCTTTTCGTCCTGTGACATGCCAGGAATAGTATCTGCATTTGCTTGCATTTTGTCAAAAATATTTGCATTTTGTAGAATTGACTATTGCATGTGACAACCTTTGCATGTGCACGGTATTTAAAGAATGGTCCTTAAAATGATTTTTACTGTGTTGGTGTTATGTACTCAGGTGAATATGATGTTTGTGCAATGTTACTCTGAGTGTCGGTTAACACCGGTGAAGTTTGAAAAATAGGCCTGGCCAAGGTGGGAATCAAACCTATGACCTTGGAATGCCCAATGCTCTGCCAACTGAGCTATCATGATTACTAGCTTGCATTGATATCGAAAGAACTAGACTCAGTTCTGAAATATCACATACTTGAACCGACTTGACTGCGTAGCTCAGTTGGCAGAGCATTGGGCTAGCATTCCAAGGGTCGTAGGTTCGATTCCAACCGTGGTCAGGCATATTTTTCAAGCTTACCCGGTGTGGATATACACTCAGAGTAACATCACACACATATTCACCTGAGTACATAACACCAACGCAGAAAAAATCATGATTACTAGATTGCATTGTTATCGAAGGAACTAGACTCATTTCTGAAAATCACATAGTATTACTCGAACCAACCTGACTACGTAGCTCAGTTGCCAGAGCATTGGGCTAGTATTCCAAGGGTCGTAGGTTCGATTCCCACCGTGGCCAGGTATATTTTTCAAGCTTGCCCGGTGTGGATATACACTCAGAGTAACATCACAAGCATCATATTCACCTGAATACATTACACCAACACAGAAAAAATCATGATTATTAGATTGCATTGTTATCGAAGTAACTAGACTCTTCCGAAAATCACATAGTATTACTTGAACCGACCTGACTGAATAGCTCAGTTAGCAGAGCATTGGGCTAGTATTCCAAGGTCATAGGTTCGATTCCCACCGTGGCCAGGCATATTTTTCAAGCTTGCCTGGTGTGGATATACACTCAGAGTAACATCACAAACATCATGGTCTTTAAAATGTTTACGTGGTTTTTACATATGATTTGGTACAAGTTCTCGTGAACATCCAGAACAAATTATTTTGCGTGTTTAATTTGCCACCAACATTAACACACAGCAAGGGATTAAAGACTTTGAAGATCCGTTAACAGCTTTAGCTTTAATTTACACAGTGTATAACCAATTTTTTAGGATTGAATTTTTATTATTTTATAAAGGACGAGGTTTTGAACTTATAACACTGCATTTAATTTTGATAAGCATTAATTTAGCTTTGTATTTCAAGGGGGTTGCTCAAATTAAAACATCTGTCTTTGGGTGTTTGACACTCTATTTGAAAGTTACCTTATTTGAAAGTTACCTTTTGCTTTGTCTCCCTGAGCAATGTATAAATTTAAATACATGCAGTAAATGACATTTTTCTGCTCATTGCTTGTAATGCCTCAATAACCTCGTGGATGAATCTGTAAGGCTTCCAAAGTCGGATTTCTTGCTGAGCAAAGTTGTGGCATGCATAAGCAGTCTACCTAACCCCCCCCCCCGCCCAAAAAAAATATTACCTACTGTATGTCACCTGGGACAAAAAGGGAAATCGTGTGTAAAATGATTATGAAGAAGAATTTAAAGAACTTTCAGAGTCTGAACATCACACATACGGTGGAAGGAAAAGTTTCAGTCCATTTTAGGCAATGTCATCCAATCATCAAATCAACATTTGATACAAAATTGTACTGTGTGTGAACTCAATAGTCAACATTTGTACTATAAGTTTTCTAAGAACTTGTAGTAGTGTCAAGCTTATTTGTTATTATTTTGTATCTTTCTTTAGAGAAAACTGTACGAGTGTTCAATGTTATGAGGGCAGGCTACTGTACATGTCCTCAAAAGAAAGCAAGGTCGACGAAACAACAAAAAGGATTATGCGTTACAACGTTCGTAGGCTACCCTGGGAGAGTCCATCTCTATACGAAGGGCAAAGAAAAAGTTAGACAGGCTCCGCACCTTGTCTTTGTCAGAACTGATACGGAGCTGAATTCTTCCTCGCGAGGATCGACAGCCCTCCATTCGACCTAAGCCAAACGACTTCCCGGAGTGGGCAGCTAAGAACGAGGATGATAATGTTGTTGATGAGAGTGCCCAGTCATTATCCCTAGTGGCTCTTTGCTGAATGACTCTGTTAATGACATGTTAAATGATCATGACTGATTGCTTTAGTTTTTCAGTATAGTAAAGACCCACAATATATCACCCAAAATTTTCCATGTTCTAATGTATTAATAGTGCTTTATATATTTGTTGTGAACCTGCATGGCTTCTTAAACAGGTTCATACAAATGTTAGACTGAAAGGTTTTTATTCGTGGGTTTTCATTCTGCATGTGATAATTTGATAATCAAATTTATGAGTTTGCGTAATTTACACTGTTTATACGATATGCATTTATTCTGCATGGCAGATTTTTATGTTATTGATATGGTAAATATAAAATTGAAGAAAAAATTATGCGTGCTGAAATCTTTTTTTTGTCTTTGGAGACATTACTTCCTGCTTTGCTATTAAACTCGCCACTGGAGCAGCTTGTTTGCTATTACGTTCAATTCTGGGAAACGCCAGAGAGATCTATGAATGGCATTACTTTTGTTTTACTGATCATCTTACCTGCACGTACAATTTATTAACGAAAATATCTAAAACATGGCTTAACTGTAACTATTATTATTTGACATTCAATTTGCATTTGCGATTTTGAATAGTTTGTTTAACCATTAATGCTTAACTATAGGTATTTAAATGGAAAATGAAAACGTCAAATATACAATACATGTTTCTTTTCGTACGACATTAAATGAGTTTTAAGGCTAAGTAAACATACAAAACACCTTTGCTTAAAGTTGAATAAAGACATGTACCTTTTCACAGTTTCAACACCACATTAAATGTGATTAAAGGTTAAATAAAGATACAAAACACCTTTTCATAAAGTTGAGTAAAGGCATGTACAGGTACCTTTTCACAATTTCAACACATATTAAATGTGATTAAAGGTAAAATAAAGATTCAAAACACCTTTGCTTAAACTCTTTCTCACCACAGCCCATATCGCGTCGATCCTGAGCGATCAACGGCTATAAATTTTCATACCTTCGGTTCAGTGCATGCTATGAAGACAGAAATACCACCAATCGATTCAGAAATAAAAGATCTACTAGTTCCAAACGATAGTTATCGTCATTATTAACATTGTAACGATTTATGGGCCTTTGAAAGTCAAACACGATAATATTGTATCAAATTACGCAATTGTCTGAACAAAATATAGACTATAGCCATACCTTTCGCTGAAAATAACTTCGGCCCCTTCGCACATATCGTCTTTGTAATGGTCTTGTTCGAATCCCAATCAAAAACACTATTTAGAGTGTTATTTGCAAGCCTGTATCTTCAAATCTGTATCTTTTATCAATATATTTCCATTTCTTGTCCGACTGTGAGCTCGAAGTGAGTTAATCGGAAATACGTCTGAAAACCGTCAAAACAATCGTATGACCCTGGAAAGGCCAGAAATGGATTCGCAAGGTCAAATTGCACCTACACGCGTGAGTTTGACGTCATACCGGCCAACAGGAGCTTCTTATTGGCCAATTATTGCGCAATGTTCGCAAGTGCGAGTAAAACCCGATATCTTGAAAAATTCAAAATAAATATTTCTAGTTGGCGTATACATACGAAACTTTCTACACAAAAGCGCTTGGATACAAAGAGTATTTTACACATATAGCCGTTCAGAAAATGACGAAAAGTTCAAGAGATGTTCAAGATCTTGTAGATTTGAAATCTAGAATCTTTGGCCAAGCGGTGAGTAAATATATGATTGTTTCGGTTTGTGTAATGCTCTGACGGCACTTGACCCCCCGTTCGAAAGGTTATTTTATGAGGATTTCAATGTTGGCTTTTATTTACAAGGGGGGTAAATACTTGCCGAGATATTTATATTAGAAAAATTGTGTCGTAATCTGATGCGATTAAAGTTGAGTAAAGACATGCACCTTTTTACAATTTCAACACCTCATTAAATGTGATATATGTAGCTTCAAGGTACCTTTACAACTCATTTCTCTTCGCAGTTAAAGGCAAGTTAGAAACCTTTAATTCCCTTTAAACAAACTTTTCTCATTCTTTAATAGGTCGTCTTTAATCATCTATAATTATACTATAATTTGGTCATTTAAAGCCTCCAGAAAAATCTTTAACCTGCATGCTGAAAGGAGAGTTTAGGTACATTTACTAAATTTAATCAAACTGATTAAATCTGATTAAAGCCACCAATAAACATCGCTTTACGCCACCTTTAACCATGATGATAGCTACTGATTTCGTCCTGTGACTGCCATTTCACTCAAGTGCCTCGAACAAGAAGTTGCCAAGCGGGAAAACATTGCCAGTAACCATGGCAATGTCGATATCATTTTGATCCCCGAGAGACCCTTTTTCTCCCTATTACTGTCAAATAACCCTCAAGGAAAACGTGCACAAGAATTAGCTTGTGCAATTTGAGCAATTTTTCATTTATCAAATTGGCTACCAAGCTCCTAAAATTGTCACATTATTGTCTAATATTGCATGCAAAAATACCAGGCATTTGAAACCAGGAGTGTTCAATGACATCGAATACAAGCGACACTCTATTATTTACTAAATTTATATATAATTAAGGTGGCTCAATACCAATACTGGACAGTTTGTGTTTCGCGTGCCAAAGATTTTGCGCCGTAAATTTTCGCCAAAATTTCACGCCAAAAAAGTCCTTCCAGCTAGACTAACGTGCACCAAATGCAAGTGGCAAAGCCACAAGCATTTTAGGTCGGTCCGCGGGTTGAACCTAGAGTCTCTCAAATGCCATTTCCTGGACATTGGAGGGAAGATTTTGCAGAATTCTGATGATCAGAAAACACTTGTTAAATTAGTAAAATTGAGTATTACACATGGGAATTCATGTTATATTGTGTTACACATGAATATACTCTGCTCAAAGATAAATAATAAAATTTGCTGTATTTTAGTTTTAATTGTCATTCTGAAAACTGTCCCATTCCTGCATTCCACATCAAGTCATGACTTTCCTTCCATGACCCATCATATGCCTGTTGAACGGGGATTGTGTATGCAAATAATGACTTTTATGTTGTTGTGTCGATAAGTAATTATGGATTTATCGACAATTAGCTAAATTAAAAATCATGTCAGTTGAAGCATGACAACCTGTCAGTACTACCAATATGCTTTTTGTATCATCTCTATCATGTGTTGAATGGGAGGGGGGAATTGTATATGTAAATGCACTATTTATGTTAATTATTGTCAATAGGTAATTATGGATTTATCAACAAGATGAGACAATTAGAGTTGTTAAAAATCATATCGGTTGATGCTTGACAACCTGCCGGAACTACAAACATGCTTTTTATGTCATCTTGTTGATTATTTCCCAATGTAGAAAGGAATAGAAAAAAACAGGAAGTGAAATGACAACCTCGTACCCAGGGACTTTCCTCTTGGGGAGCAAAGACCCTGGTAAATGCAGCAGAAAAAACCTGTGCTGGTGGGCAGATTTTTTTTTACCAAATCACATTTAGGCAGGTGCATGGAAACATTGCTGAAACATGCAGAACACAGTTGTATGTATGGTAGAATATTCTCAATGCCATTACAATTAATATTACAATTGCCAAGGCCCAAACTCAATATACATGTGTGTGTCAGTTGTCAATAGGAACTCATGTTTTCTAAATGGCTGATGGTCCACTGGAAATAGTGATTTTTTAAAAATAAAAACGGCACGAAAAATGGATGCAGGAGCTGATGATAAACCGGGATATTTTTTACATGGCCTTATGTCAAATTAAATTGACATATTGATACCCTTCTGTTTTGCAGACGAAAAGCTATAATTTTCCTTCTACTACAACCACTAACAAAGTATGTGGTGGAGTAGTAAAGGCAAAGAAATTGTTTCCCAAAAACCCTGCACAACATTATGCTGACATGCTAATGTTAGAGAAACATGAAGATATGAATCCAGCATTTTTAATCCTCTTACTGGAAAGAAGAAAGATATAGAATGTATTAGAGTTGATGGCAACAGAGATGAGGGCCCTGTCCACGAGGAAGTCCAGTATTGTTGGACCAAAAGACACCTAGTTAAGGGGGCTAAGGCTATGGTGGTGTCCAAGAGAAGCAGTGGATCCAGTTATAAAAACCGAGTGGAACTTCAAAACGGGTGTCTACCATGGGTCATGCTAATCGCTTCATCCCTTCGACATTAAATGGATCATGCGTAGTTTCAGGCCAGGTTAATGACAACATTCTATATTAAAACCTAGATTCAGTTATTGATGTTTACCTTTTTCGAGTAGATCTTTGTGTGCCAGAACTGTTAATCCACCTTATGAATGGGACTGATAGTGACAATGAACAAAAAGAGAGAGAAATTGTTTAAAAATTTAATACCTACACCTGATCCAGAGCACCCATTGGGCAACCTCAATTGTAGACTGTGACAGGTTTTGTGCAAGCCACTACCTAAAACCAGACAAGCTTGTGAGCTCAGTCAACATTTTATCAAAAGCAATACCCCCTTCTCAAAAATGCTTTCAAATGTCTTCAGGAAGAGTGAGGGTTTCTCCAAGAAAGAATAACTGCTGCCACTGCGATTAAGTATTCTGCTGGGTTAGGCTTTCCACAACGAAAATTTTCCTGTCAGCAAACCTTGTAATGTCAATGTCTTTGATTTACTTATTACATAGAACTTTCCTCTCTTGATAAAATTTCTCTCTTACATCTCGAGGACTAAACTTGACTATAATGGCAGGATCACAACTATCAGAGGTTTTCAATCTATCACAGTGGTCAGATCTGCTCAATTTCCTCCCACTTGGGATTTAGTGGTGTTGTATTTCAAGCAGAAAGATTTAGCTATAGCAGGAGAAATAAATTTCATGCAAGTTCACACATTATTTTGAATATATTATGCATGTGTTTTTGGACTTTCCCATTATTATATTGCTTCACCCCTGGGTGGTATTATGCACTTTTTAGATGCCCAAAGTTACCCCACTTTTTGGCCAAAGTTGGATTTACACAGGCTCTGTGTATGCCCCAAATCTTTGGCCTTGTTATTTTTGAATGCACAGTACCATAAAACTGATTTTAAATTTAGCACATTTTCCTATATTGTGCACGTTTTTGTGTAAAATCACAAAATGTGCCTCAAGGTACCCTCCGCAAGGATACATTTGCTAGTTGCAATGCAGTGATTTTGTTAAAATAAAGTTTTTATCTTATGGCTTCAACCTATGGTGTTGAAACCAATCAGAAATTGTGCATACTGGCCGTGTAAATATTGGTTTTGATTTGCACTTTTAACTGATTTGCCATCGTGAATTGTCTTCTTGTTGAGATTTCATATCTCAATTGTGTTCGAAATGTTTGGTATCTTAAAGAAGGGGTATTGTGTGGAGGAGGTTTACAATGCAGCAAATAAATTGTGCATCTAACTCATTTATTTAAAGGCTTTTATACATATACCTTTTCTTCAGACATTGACAGCATCTCAAATGTCTACATACTTGTAATAAACCTATAAAGGATTATTACGGTCGGTCTGTCTTAGGGGTTATATAGTTGAATAATTCGGCAAGATCATGAAGTTCTCTTATAAGTTGACTAATATTGCATTAAAAGTGGTAGAAATTGGTGTATTTCAGTGTATTTGTTTGCTAATGTTGCTATATCTCACACTATTTGCCTATTAAGAAATATCATGACATGCAATTTTAATTCCACAGCAAATGCTGTTATAATAATAATAATAATTACATTTATAGTGCGCATATGTTCATATGCGCATATGTTCATATATGTTCATATGCGCATATGTTCATATGCGCATGACAATTTGATACATAGAATATAAAATTAGTTAGAACTATTTAGTTAAAATTATGTCTTTAAAATTAACCTAAATTACAAACTTTATTTACATGTAGGCTTTCTTAAATAAGTATGTCTTTACAGGTAAACTACGTGAAGCATTCCTCTTTTGAGTTTCTAAATTGATTGCAATTTTCCTCATTACTTTTGCAATTTAAAAAACTCCCTTGCAAATCCCTTGAGGGAATTTGCAATGTTGCAAAGGCAAAAAAAATTTTCCTCAGTTCCTGTTAGAAGTTCTTAACTTCCTGTTACAAGTTCCTAACTTCCTGTTCTGTTCTGGGCGTTGCAATTGGCTAACAAAAATAATCCACCAATAACAACGCTCAGAACAGAACAGGAAGTTAGGAAATTAAAACAGGAAGTTAGGAAAATTTAAAATGAAGTTTGGAATATTGCAACAGCCGATAGGAACATTGCAAATTCCCTCAAGGAATTTGGAAAGAGATACGAATGTCAAATGTGATAAATGAGTTACGAAGTCAAAAGAGGAACGCTTCACGTAGTTTACCTGTAAAAGTCTTTTAAAACTGTCAACAGAGCTAGCCTGTCAGATATATGAAGGTAAGGAGTTCCAAAGCATGGGTGCCGCAGAGGCAAATGATCGATCACCTAACGTGGCCAAAGTCTTCACAGAAAGTGGCTCAAGAAGAACTTCTCTGTTCGATCTAATATTATAGTTAGATGGAGACTTAATATTTATTAGTTTATTAATCAGGTGCCAGCCCATGCAATGCCTTAAAAACTATTAATAGCAGTTTAAAGTCTATTCTAGACTTTACCGGCAACCAGTGTAGATTCATCAAAGTTGGGGTGATGTGATCAAACCGTGAAGTATTGCTGATCAGTCTAGCTGCGGCATTTTGGACACGCTGGAGCTTGTTAAGATGAATTGTTGGGAGACCATAAAGAAGGCTATTGCAATATTCCAATCGATTTATCACCAACGAATTGACCAATATTTTCGCAGTTTCATAGGTGAGGAATTTCCTTATCCGTCTAATGTTAAAAATGTTAAAAAATGCAGCACTTGAACACTTGCTTATGTTAGTTACCATTTTCATCTGCGAGTCAAACCAGAATCCCAAATTCCTTGCCTTGTCGATCGAGTTGATAGAATTGTCGCCAATTCTCAAAGAATTAAAGTTGACTTTCGCTAGTTGTTGCCGAGTTCCAATGATTAGAAATTCTGTTTTACCATCATTAACCTTTAATTTATCAGCGAGCATCCAATCCTTAAAATCATCAATGCAGTGTTCTAAGGCAGCAACTGCAGCAAGTTGATCACAGGTCGAATCTGGTTTGAATGATACATAGAGCTGTGAATCGTCAGCGAATGCATGAGCATCAGGTAGGTGTTTTTCCACAATGCTAAACAGTTTACCTACATATAGTACAAATAGTAGGGGATGCAAACATGATCCCTGAGGGACTCCACACGATACATCAAAAAGTCTAGATCGGCCACCGTTGACTGAAATAAATTGAGAACGTTTACTGAGATAAGAAGTAAACCACTCTAGAACCCGCCCCTTTATTCCAAATTCATGATTCAGTCTACGAAGCAGGATGTTGTGATCAACGGTGTCGAATGCGGAGCTAAGATCTAGCATTACCGATAGAGTAACATGTTGACGGTTTATATTCATCAAGATATCATTTGTTACTTGTAGCAAAGCCGTTTCAGTGCTATGGCATTTACGATATGCCGACTGACCTTTAGGATACGGTCTTTGTGTATTCAGAAAATCGTTTGTTTGATTGAAGACTTACAGTTCATTAAGCTTCGATACGTACAACAGATTGCTAACAGGTCTAAGGTTTTCAAAAGCAGTGCAAGTGTCCAAATTCGATTTCTTAAGTAACAGACAAACATCCGCTACCTTCCATTCAGGAGGAAAAACACCAGAATCTAATGACATGTTTATCATCCTTGTAAGAACAGGAAGAAGAATATCTTGACAATCGAAGTCGGCATTGGATCCAATGAACTAGTTTTCCCATTTGATTTAGTTATCAATTTTTTTACATCTTCTTCACTTAATTGCTCAAATGAATCGAAGCAGGCATTCAATGCAATAGATTCATCAAAGACACGATTGTGCAAGTCTGAAGCTGACAAATCAAGTTCACTTCGAATGTTTTCAATTTTCTGCATGAAAAATTCTCCAATATCAATAGCTAACATAATCTGGTCTTCATATGCGGGAAAATTAAGATAATTTCTCTGATGAAAGAGAGACTTAGCGGTGTTAAATAGTTTTCGTTGATCTGAACTATGTTCCAGGACAAAATCTGTATAAAATTTTTTCCAAGAACGGTTCATTACAAATATCATATAGTTTTTCGTAGATTTGTAGATTTGAAAATCATGAGGCTGTTTAGTTCTTCTCCATTTTCGTTCAGCTCTTCTTTGCTCTCTTTTTGCAGATTTTACTTTTTTACTTCATTGTTAAACCAAGGTAAATAGGGCCGAGTAACAATCGTTTTAGTTCTTAATGGAGCATGCCTATTTATGGCTGATTCAAGTGTTTCATTATAACATATAGCAAGCTCATTTACATCAAACATATCAATGTTTTTACAGAGATCAGAGTTAGAAAGGTCAGCTCGCAGAGCGTCCAGATTCATCGCCGAAAGATTCCGATACGAAACTTTTGATTTAGTAAAAAGTACCTTACCCATATCAAGTTCGCAGAAGACAGGCATATGATCTGAGAACAAACAGACAGGTCTAGGCACAGAAGAAACTAGATTGTCAGTTTTCCAAGTTATTATTAAATCAAGGGTGTGGCCGCTGGCATGTGTGGGGACTTCAACATGTTGAGTCAGGCTGAAACTCTGCAAAAGTTCCAAGAACTTGATAGCATCATAGTTTTCATTAGAATCGATATGAATATTAAAGTCCCCGACAATAAGAAGAGGATCTGCACTCGGAACTATTGATTCTAGGTATTCTGCGAATTCCACAAAGAATACAGCACTGGTAACCGGGTGGGCTACATAATATGGTGGTCTGTACACAGTAATTGGGTTTATTCGCTGTGAACCTGAAGTAACTTTCCATTCCGAGTATTCAAATGATTGACGTTCGCCACCAGCGACCTTAGCAACCTGAAGATTGTTTTTAAAAAGTAACCCGGTACCTCCTCCCTGACGACCAGAACGGGGATGATCAAAAAACTTATAGCCACCAGGGGTACACTGAGTTTTTGGTGCAGATTCTCTATCGCTGAACCAAGTTTCAGTTGCCGTAAGAAGGTCTGGTTGATGTTCACAAATAAAATCGTTAAAAATCGCGGCTTTATTATTCAAGGATTGTGCATTTAAAACACTCAAAGTAATGCCTTTGTCACAATCTTTGGTGCACTGAGTAGAAGCAATTAAAGGGGTTATTTGAACAATGTTTGAATTATTAATATGGGAAATAGTGTTTGCAGTTTTTATGGGTGGTGATTTACGTAAGGTGATTCTAATCTGAATTGGCATCTTTATCGGACAGGACAAGGGAGTTGTGATTTGGGGGTTGTGTGGGACATGGGAGGTGGGTGATTTATCTACATTCCCCAACGTGGTAGGTGGGTGGATTGGGACTTGTAATAATGGTTGGGGAGGGTATGTTGTACGTAGCATCCTCAAGGAAAGTGGTTTGGGGTTGGACAGGGCACTCTGGAACCCACCAAAAAAAGCAGGTGGAACAGTTCGGTGAGAGTTAGGTCCTGAATAGGTGTAGCAGGGTAGAATATTGTGAGAAAAGTCACAGAATGAGCCTTTTTTACACCTTCCTTTCTTTTGTAAGAAGGGGCACGATACCAGGTGTTTTGGTGATAGGGGATTATTATATATAGGTTTGCCGTTGTGGAAAAAATCACATAAATTGCCTTTGGCGCACCAGCCACGTTTACAAAGGAAAGGGCACGGGATGGTATGCTTTGGAGGTTGTTGTATAGAACTTAAGTCAGGGTGAATTGTGTTTTTATGGTGTTTAATCTGTGGATTGACGGCTGTGATCTCGTCTTGTTTATTGCATGTAGCATTGTTCTCTTTATGTGTTGGTAAACTTTCTTGATGAATCTGATGGGTTTTGGGGTTAATTGGACTTGCATTGTTTATAGTTGTATTTTTGGAATAATTATTAGGAACGCTAATGATGTTAGTAAGGTCATTGTTTGCAGGAGTTCCGATGATGGTCGAATTATTTAAATGTTGATCATTAGCATTATCGCTAATAGTTTCGCAAACTGAATTTACTTTGTTAGTTGAGCTACAGGCATTGTTCTTTAAATCATTAATAGATGCACTGGGATTTGTCATTTCAAGCGATAACAATTTTGACTTAATAAGTGTATTGTCTTCGTACAATTTATTTATTACTTCATCCTGTTTACGAATTATAGCCTCTAAATATTTATGTTTACTGCGGAGGGAATTTATTTCTATGGTCATTTCATCGGGAAAGATTATAGAACCCAAATGCGTCTCGAGAATTACCATGTCTAACTTTACACCCTCTAAATCTGTTACAACAGATCCACAAGAGCAACTGCAAGGGCTTGAACGTACCTCAGGCGTCATTAGTTGTTTCTTTACTTCCCAAACCCAATGTTGACTCGTTATTTCTTAAACCCAGTGTTGCCCGACATTCCAGCTTCAATTTTAAAGGGTAATCGCAGTTGTCAGTAAGGGTTATAAGTTTCTTGGAGCGAGGACCATACCATTTAATGATTAGATCTGAATCATCATCCTTAAAAAGTTTGACGTTGCTGCCGGGTGAAGTCCATATCCCTTTAGTGTTCAGCGTTTTCTCAACAAAGGTCTTTAACTTGCTCAAAGTGCCAGTCCATCGGTAAATTTTGCCATTGTACGTTAATTCGTTCACTATATTCATGTCTTTGTAGTAAAGGATATATATCTCACCAAGTTTACACACTAATAGAAATAACAAATGCGAAATAACAAATGCAAATAACAAATGCGAAATTAAATATATGGCAGTATTACAGTTTAGGTATCTTTTAAATTGCTAATAGATCACACAGAAACTTTTTACAATCGTTATATTCAAAAGACTAGCATGCAAATTCACATATTTGCTATTTACATGGGAAGCAACGAAATACGACACAGTATCTTCAAGTACACTGTGAAATTCCACTGACAAAATGAGCCTGCACAAAACTAGGTTCTGAACTACGATATGAATTTTGATTCAAAATAGTACACCACATCGAGTAATGTGTTGAAGTAAACAAGGACGTGCTGTAGATGAAATCCTTCTAAAGAAGATTGTAAGCCTTCTAAAGAAGATTGTAAGCCTCGGGATATCAGGGGAAAGTATAGTTTCGATAAGTAAACAGTTGGACATACCAAGACCGACCACATGCAAGAGTTGCTATAATGATTAATGACTATGTTGGTGTTAGAAGAATGACTGTGTTGGTTACTGTTTTCTAGTTATAAACATATGGTAATGTTTCATCAGACAGTCCTCAACAGTGTTTAGGTTATTTAAAGCATAATTAGAAATAGAGCTACACTACTGTAGTTTCTCTTGATTAAAAAATGAACTTTAATAATGTTACCAACTGGTGTATTAACGACATTATTGACGATGAAAGTTGTTGTGGAAGTGACACTTCAGAAGTATTAACATCGACTTTTTCCTCATCAAAAATGTGTAAATAACACTTTAAATTGTTATTCAGGACAATCCAATCCACTAATCCAGGATGTTGAAGGTTCACTTGACGAGATTGTGGAACATCAGAAATCATGAGCAATGTTGGTAGCCATAGTAGTGAGTTAAACGCGGGCGTAGAGTCCAAAGATTATGCATCTCGAAGCCGTATTCCTATAGAGAAAGGTCTATATTAACTCAAAGCAAGTTTGAAGAAATCATATTGATATTATTAAGACTGCCTTATTAGACAATCCGGGTTTATCAACATTGCAAGAAATGAGGCAAACTTTAGATGCTAACATGAACGATTTATTAGAGATCTATGGTAAATTACTGAAATTGTACGATGTTCAGGAGGGCGAGGAGTTGACAAGTCTGCATAAACTGTGGGATGAGCAGTACAGTAATTATTATGGTATTCTTAACAAGAGAATTAACAAAATTTTTTATGAATACAAATAAGCAGAACATGGTGAATATTGATATAACTTCTCGTAGCTCACATGCTTCACAATCCTCTCGAAAGGCAATAATACAATCAAAACATGCTCGTTTGAAAACCAATTTAAGTTTTCTAGAAATGGAGAAAGAAAAAGAAGTGGAATTCAAAAGAATACAGATGATGAAAGAATTAGCAGATAACCAAGATGAAATAGAAGCTATCAATAAGTTTGAAGAGGAACAAAATATTGAACTGGGAAGTCCTACTTCACACATGTTACCTATGCAGGTGCAAAGTCCACTGGAACGTGTCCGGGAATATATAAACGAACAATATCATTCATGCCAATGGATAATAGTAATACTTCTAGAATTTCCGAATTAAGCCCAGATACGCAGACTGCACCATTAAACCCACATGTTTGTCCCATTAACGATCCCACTAATCCTGAATCCCTTTTCTCCTGACCAAACGACTACAGAAAATCCACAGGGAATTAACCGAAAGATCTGTGTCCCAGCACCCTACATCAGGTGTACCACATTCACAACACATACATGGATTCCATCAATCTAACCCGTTGTACACAGTTACGACTGACACTAGAAACCCATTCACATCAAGTACATATCCACACGTTACGGTTCCAACACCTTCAGCTCAATCAAACAATGCTATGACTTATCCGCAACCCAATACTTGCTCAACATCGCATGGACAACCTCGAACCGCATCGGATGAACTGTTAACTACAGATGCATACCTTTGCACATCAGATGACTAAATATGTAGATAAAGAGTTTGGTGAGGCTTTTTCATGTGATAATATATATTTAGGTGAGATTAAGCCAACCAGCAATGCAAATCGGGGTTTTGTTACCATTAAAAAGTACATGGAGGGGGAATTTACCAAGTATGTTAACAACAATGGCCATGTCACTGCAGACAAGAAAGATGTCAAAACACAGAAAGTAGTGGGGTTTTTTTGGAAACACACATGTAACACTTGTTGTAAAAGGACCTAAAAGAAGATGAGCCAAAATATCATGTTTAAGGTTAAAAAGGAACAGTATATTTAAAAACTGTTAAAACAGAGCCACAAAAACTGACATTTAAGTTTGTTATTTACAGTAAGAACAATTGATCTATGTTATGTTATATAAGCATGAAAATTATATTCTTATTCATGCCAACAAAAATTAATTTGGACATTTTCAAGTTGTGTGTCTTATTACAAATATCCCAGTAGTATTTTAAGGGTGAGGCTCAAAGATATCTGCAAAGTACAGGGAACATGCAAGCTTTTCAGGTGGGTATGGGGGTTGCCCAGACATACTCTCCAGTTTTAATGATCTGTTTTTGGGTCATTCCAGAAAACATATGATTCCACACTCCCCCAACAAGGAAATCAGAAGTTAACCCTTCTACTGCCATGACATTTCAGACATTTCTATCATGGGAGAGGAAGAGCATACATAATTTCTGAGGCAAGTTTTACCCACATGGAATCGCCATCAGTTAATACATTTTTCCCATTATTAAAGCTAAACATAGTTGTGTATATGCTACTACTGTAGCAAGTACTATGATTTTAATACAGATTTCTATTGTCTTCAAAATTCTCTTCTCAATGTCCTGTATGATATAGCCACATCTTTTAGCAATATGTTCTCTGGGTTGGGTAAAAGTCCACTGTGAGGTAATCATTTTCTACATTCAGAACACCTGAAACTCTACCAACATTTTCCAGCTCATCTAATGATAGCTCCCAGCCTTCGTCTTCCAAATCATATGCTTCAGGATTAGAATGTATGAAATCTGGAATTCCAATTGGCATTAGTGTATCCTTTTGCAATCTGCATTTTGAACTGTTCCACACCATGGTTCCTCCTCAGAAAAACATGTATACTTGCTAGCACACCAGTTTCAGTTCCTCGGTCAAGGCGGATTATAGAATATATTCTCTTTGTTTCATATAGATGGTCACAATACCACCTCCCAACAAGCTCTGGATTGCAGTTGGATGTCCATACTTTAAGGAACATCACTTTTCTTGATGCTGTGTCATAGCATCCATATATAGCTAGTGGGAAAGTCCAGTTCTGGAATCCCATCAACTTATTTATGACCATCCAGACTCCAATTAACTCCATGAGTTTTGAACTGCCCCCTCTTTCTCTTGCCCTTGTTACGTGATTCTCTTTCTTCCAAGGCATCAGGGTTGAGGTTGTACATGACAGTGTTGACCAAGTCCCTATGCACAATTTTTTGTCATGGCCCTGACACCTAACAGCCCTCCAGGACCTTTCAATTCTTCACTGACCACATTTCGTACATCTACTACGGGAGTATCATATTTGATATAAGTTTATGTGAAAATGCCGTAGTCTATGGTCCAAAGTCTTAATACAGCCCCAGGTATATTGGGGAAATGCCCTATTGTAGATGCCCTAATTTTTGGCCCAAGTGATCCCAGAGTACAGGCAAAATTACTTGAACATGATGCCAGTCTAACCTTAAATAAAGCTATTGACATTGCTAGAACTGCAAAAGCTATTGTATCACAATTAGCAGATATAAGAAGTACAGAGCCTTTTTCTACACAGATAAATGCCTCAAGTAGCCCTGTTAGTATTAGCAAGCACCAGACCCATCCTTCAACCCTCAAGTACTAATATAACACCATTTGGTGGGCATATTATCGAACAGTATGGTACATGTTTGTTGACACTTTCACACAAAGGCATTAGGAAAAAATACCCTTTCTATGTCGTAAATACAACTGGTCCCACTATATTAGGCCTACTTACTTGTAGTGATATGAAATTAGTTACATTAAATGATTCAATTACAAGTCAGCATGTTTTGAAATCAGCCCCTTTCAACCCCTCGCAAGGTGACATGAAGGAGACGCTTCTTCGTGATTATGCTGATTGTCAAAGTGGCATTGGGTGTTTTGAGGGAGAGTTTCATATTACGCTAGACCCCAGCAGTGCCAACAGTAATCCATCCACCCCGCAGGGTTCCAGAGCCCTCCAAGAACTGTTAAAGAAAGAGCTTGATGCTCTAGAAGCACAGGGTGTTATAACCAAAGTTTCAGAGCCCACTGATGGGTTAACTCACTTGTGTGTGTAACAAAGCCCAATGGATCCCTCAGGTTGTGTCTAGATCCCAAAGATCTAAATAAAGCCATCAAGCGCCCCCCATCACCACACCCCAACTATTGATGAGATACTCCCAAAGCTAAATACTGACCAATATTTTTCAATTGTTGATGCGAGAAGTGGTTACCGGAACATTAAGTTAGATTATCAGTTAATTCTCCCCATGGCAGATACCGTTTTCTCAGGCTCCCTCACATCTGCGTAACAAAGCCCAATGGATCCCTCAGGTTGTGTCTAGATCCCAAAGATTTAAATAAAGCCATCAAGCACCCCCATCACCGCACCCCAACTATTGATGAGATACTCCTAAAGCTAAATAGTGCCCAATATTTTTCAATTGTTGATGCGAGAAGTGGTTACTGGAACATTAAGTTAGATTATCAGTTAATTCTGCCCATGGCAGATACAGTTTTCTCAGGCTCCCTTTTGGTGTCTAGTATGTGCTCGAGATATTTTCAAGAAGAAGGTTGACGAAACACGAATCCGACGGCAATCGTGGAGCATGCACAAGAAAAGTCCGTAAATATTGCCTTGATAATAGCCTTAGGTTACAAGAAGCTTTCTGAATGACCTGAATAAACACATGCTGACGTTTGTAGGGCTAAAACAAAATTCAGTAGCCGAGATTATCTCTTGTTGTCAACAAGACAACAACAACAAACATGTTTGTGTGAACCCACGATCAAGGTCACCACTGTCTACGAAAGGTCAAATTACGTCAAGATAAAACAGATAAAAAGTTTATAGTCTTCAGTTTTTGTTCACATGTAAGTGTGCCAAAGTTCTATTCTTTCTTCAAGTTTTTCAAATCACCAATTGGTGCTTCTATGAATATAATCTAAATGGCTACTTGCAGGTACTCTAGATTTGGCATCTGGCAGTGCGGTTCAAGTAGGGATTATCCCAATGACTTTTCCTGTTTGACAACTGAAAACTGTCAGTGAAAGATTAAAGGCACCTTAACAGCGGTTGTCAGTAAATACCGCCTTAGGTGTGTAAAATATGAAAAATGAGAATATCTCAAACTGTGTCAAAATAGTCTTTGGGAAGTATTAAAGAAAAACAGGTGTAAGGTTAAATGGGTTTATATTTTCTCAGAAGGAGATTTTACTGTGATGTGACCACAGTTGTTTGAAAGCTCACCTAAAAATCTGAAAATAATAAAATCAAATAACTGAAATGGGACACTGATTCATATGATTCCAGGGGTTGATATTTAATTTCCATTTAATACTGAATATTTACAGATTTTTCAATGTTTGTCTTTTTGGAGTGATTTTTTTGTTCGCAAAAATGCCCTAGTTTGATGGCTAAAATCAGCACTGATATGCTTCTAATGGTAACCATATTATAATCCAGCATTAGGGCCTGTTCATACGAGCCGACTGACTCGCAAGTGGCGAGATCTCAACCTCGTTCCCAGGCTCTTTTCTCTTGGGAAGCAAAGACCCTGGTCGTGGCTGATGACGTCACAGCATAGAGATTCATTGCCTTAGGGGGTGTGAGATAGGTGTCATATTACATGCTTCTACTTTGCATGCTTTCTCTCCGGATTCTGCCATGTTAGATTACATAGCATTTTTATCTTACTTGGAATTTGCGGTTTTAAATAGTGTATACCAAAACACTATTCTAAAACCAAAACAAGTTATTTGTCTTGAAAACGTCTATCTGGAAAAGGATGTGATGTGTGTTTTGCCAATGGGCTATGGGAAGTCATTGATTTTCCATCTGCTGCCAATGTTGTTGTTTGCCAAGTTCAAGTTGTGTGGCGATTTACTTCTTTCATGGAGATCAAGAGGTATTTCTACAGCAGTAGTTGACTCCATTGTCATTGTTGTATCACCATTGAACTCTTTAATGAGTGACCAAGTATCTCGCCTGAGCATGAGTGGTATCAGATCGTTGAATTTCGACAACAGATATGATGTCGTGTGGTCGTCAACTGTGTTCACTGTCTCAGTTGGTTGCTGTATTGATTTTCTATCTACTAATATCAAATCTAAACAAGTCTGGAGAATCACTTTGGCACTCTCGATATGTCGATTGTGATGTTCTATACGCTGCAGCTGTTGTTTCCGGCAATTCCAACAACATCTCAACCTCTTCGATCAACCGGCAAATCATTACGTGTCCCACTAACGAATGTTAAGCTTGTGATGTCTAGCTGCTACCTTTTACAGAAAGCTTTCCTGGCCGCGGTTTTAATTTCTACTTCGAATGATATCTCAGTAAATCCTGGACCAGTATCTAACGATTTCCCTCGATTTTGTGGACTAAAGATCGCTCACCTCGATGTTCAAAGTTTGATCGGTAAGATCGACTCATTACGTATCTTCTTAAAGGAAAACCCTTTTGATGTGTTAACTCTGTCTGAAACGTGGCTGAAAGCTAATGTATCTGATAATGAAATTTATATCCCTGGATATACTTTATTAAGGAATGACAGAGATAGTCGTATTGGGGGAGGTACTTTAGCCTATATTCGTGATGGCTTGCCTTACTGTGTGCGCTCTGACTTGCAAGCACCGAATATTGAATCCTGTGTTATTGAAGTCAATCGAGTAAAAGCTAGGAAACTTTTCATATTTACTATATATAAGGCTCCTGACAAGAAACTTGAACATTTTATTGAAAGTTTAAGTAATGTATTATGTACTGTTCCCTCGGAAGCCGATATTATAATTTTGGGCGATTTCAATGTTAATGTTCTAGCGGCAAAGAAAGACTCTTTACGACAACAACTTATTCGCTTTGGAAATTTGCATTACTTGGAACAACTTATTAAAACTCCTACAAGAATTACTGAAAAATCTGCCACTGCAATTGACCTGTTGTTTATTAACAATTATCATCGTATAATCGATTCTGGGGTGTTACATCCATCATTAAGTGACCATTCCCTTATCTATTGCATACTAAAAGCTGGAGTCCCTAAGCTTCCGCCACGAACAATAGAATACAGATCATATAAGAACTATTCCCAAAGTGCTTTTGTGAACGATCTTAAGAATATAGATTGGAATATTGTTGATAATCAAGAAAATGTTAATGATGCTGTTAAGGTATGGGACCAACTATTTTCTGACGTGGCTAATAGACACGCTCCAATTGGAAAACTGCGAATGAAAGGAAGGCATGCACCGTGGATCACGAGTAATTTAAGTAATGCTATGTGGGATCGCGATTATCATCGTCGAAAGGCTGTAAAATCAAATTCTGAATATCACTGGAAGCTCTATAAGCAAGCAAAGATATCTGTGAATAAAGTTATAAAGAAATGTAAATCTGAGTATTATCTAGACCTAATAAACAAAAACAAAGGAAACTCTAGTGTACTCTGGAAAACATTAAATAAAATTACATCGAGGAAATCATCTGCTCCTATAACTTCCATTGAAATTGATGGCACGTCACAAACTGACGTTAAATCAATTGTTGAAGGTTTAAACTCGCACTTTTCGTCTAGATTCTGATTCATTTGTCAGGTCATTACGCCAAATTCTGTCAGTGATATTTGGGCATCAACATCTTGTGAGTTTTCCTTTGGGCCAATAACAGTTCTCCCGATTGTTAGTAAAATTCTAGAGAAAGCGGCCCATTCACAAATGTATAGCTATCTACAGGATAATAAACTTTTGTCGCCATTTCAGTTTGGTTTTAGGTCCAAAAGCTCGACTGAGATTGCCCTCGTCGACTTCACTGACTCAATTCTGGAAAACATGGACAGAGGACTTTTCACAGGGGTAGTTTCAATAGATTTAACGAAAGCTTTTGACACCGTCGATCACGGAATTCTGTATGATAAACTGAAACGTGCCGGCTTTGCTGACACATCCGTAAACTGGCTTGAATCATATCTTACAAACAGAACTCAAGTAACTGCAATTGGAAATATTTACTTGTCTGCTAAATCTTGTACACATTGGAGTACCTCTGTGTGTTGGGTCTGTTACTATTTATCATCTATGTGAACGACCTGCCTTCATGTATAAAACACTGTAACGTATCTCTTTATGCTGATGACACGGTTATTTATTTTTCTTCTTCTGATGTATCAGTAGTTGAGGATAAACTAAATTCCGATCTAGCAAGTTTAAGCCGGTGGCTCAACAAAAACCTCCTAACATTGAATGAAACTAAATGTAAATTTGTTATATTTGGGAGTAATCAAAAACTGGCAAAGATAAAAAAATTTCCTTGCAAATAAACGGATGTCAAATTCATGATGAAGATTCGTTTAAATATCTGGGTGTTATTATGCACAAGAACATGACTTGGTTGGATCATATTGACCAGTTAAATGTGAAAGTTTGTCAACGATTAGGAGCTCTACGACGAGTAAAACATCTACTTCCCCGCGACACAAGAATAACCTTATATAACAGTCTTATTCTACCTCTATTTGATTACGCAGACGTTGTATGGGGTAATAAAAATAATGCTCTTTTGATGAACCAACTTCAAGTACTTCAAAATAATGCAGCTCGTACCATATTAGATTACCAAAGTATGCATCAGCAACTCAGGCTATTGATCAGCTGACATGGAAACCTCTAGTCTCTCGCCGCTGTTCTCATCGTCGCGTGGCGATGTACAAGTGTCTAAATGGTCTGGTTAATTTTAATCATGACTTTCGAAAGAATTGGCGACCACGGTTATAACACCAGAGGTTCTGAGAAAATCTGTGTGCCTAAATCAAAGACAAACTGGGGCTTGCAGAGATTCGTTGTGCATGCAGTAAATGACTGGAATAGTGTGCCAGAACACATCAAACAGGCTGAAACACTAACACGTTTTAAAAGCCTTTTAGCAACAAATTTTTAGACTTTCATAGATTAATGCTTTTGGAATGCTCTATATGTATATTCTATTACAGTATACTTATTTCTGACTTTTTAGCTTTTTAATTTAACCTCTACTAACTTTTATTAACTTTATGGACAATTTATTATTTATGTAATAGTTTTTATCAGGGCCCTACTGAAAATCGCACTGCGAGTTAGGCCCCCTGTCAAAATATTATGATAATAATAATAATAATAAAGAAATGGCATACGATTCAGAGCCAGAGAATGTGGATTTTGAAATGAACGCCGATTTTGAAATGAACGCCGAGATCGATTTCAGCCTTTGTGAAGAGTTTTAGCTACGCGATGGCCAATATGAAATCGTTTTTGCCCATCCGGAGACCCTAATCTCAAGCAAATATGGACGTAATTTACTGCTGAGCAAGACATACCAAGGGAATGTTCTGGCAATTGTAATTGATGGAGCTCATTGATAGTGGACTGGTTAGTATAAAACTCGTTTTTATTAAAACTGACACCATTTATTAAAATTAGAAACACCATAAACTTTGTTCGTTCATGGCAACCAGGTATATAATCACATACTCTGGTTAGAACAAAACCAGAGTAGTGATAGAAATACCAATTCATGTCTTAAGCAAAGCCCCTTAAATAAAATGACATGGTCGTAACTTGTATATCTATAAAATGCCTGGCTATAATTATCAAGGCTTGTGGTGCGCTCTCAATATAATTATATAATAATGATAATAATAATAATATGCTGAACTTTTGAGAAGGCCCCTTAGAGAATATGCTGAACTTTTGGTTTCAATTAAGATTTCGTGCCTTAATTTCAATCCAAGAGGAGTGGGGGCTTTTGACAACTGTACTTTGCAAAAAATGTCAAAATTCCTCTGGGTTGCCTGCACCCCTCTCAGGGGGAAAATATTGATAGATATTCTGTAGAAACTTGTTTATCTTTGTACTACTTTGTACTACTCTGTTCAGTTCTATACTTTACAGTAAACACTATTTTTAATTATATTTTTTAGGGGGAGTGACTTCAGACAGGACTACAAGAGGTTAGGTGTCCTATTTGCCTTATTCCCAGACATACCTGTCCTTGCAATGACCGCAACTGCCTCTCGTATTGACATCCAGTGCATTCAAGATTCCTTAGAGTTAAAGAAGTGCAAGCGCATCATTGGAAACCCAGATAGGAAAAATATTTATTACAAAAACGTATTTCGAACTGGTCATGATGTTGACACTATTAAATCTATCCTGATACCAATTGCCAGTGATCTTTTGCAGCAAAAGATTGCATACCCTCTTACTATTATTTACATTTCATTACGTTTGTGTGGTTTTGCATATAAGCTGTTTGAGCACGTTCTCGGCATTGAACAATATTTCCCATCTGGTGCCACTTCAATTCCAGCAAATAGGCTGTTTGCACAGTTTCATTCTCCACAAACTAATCAAATGAAGAAAGAAATCCTAAAGCAGCTCTGTTCTGGAAAAAGTACAGTTCGTGTGGTTTTTGCTACCGTAGCAATTGGGATGGGGGTGGATATACCTGACATCCACCAGGTGGTGCATATTGGACCCCCTTGTACTGTGAAGGAATACTTTCAAAAGACTGGACGTGCTAGCAGGGATGGCAAGTTATCGCCTGCTGTAATGTATTACAACAACAAAGACATTGCTAAGAACAGAGTAGGAATGCAAGAAGATATTCGTAATTTTTGCTTTAGCACTGATATATGCTTAAGAAAGTTGTTGAAATCACTGGATTATGAACTAGATACTGTCTATAAACCATTACACTTGTGTTGTGGTGTATGTGAAAATCGGTGTGAATGTTCAAGGTGCTTACGTCTTCTTATGGAGAAACTATAAGTTTTAATAATTATAACACTTGAACACTAAGGGAATATATTAAATTGTTAGACATTTTCAATTCTATTGAGAGAGATCTTTGGTCTGTTTCTCAAATATACAATATACAGTATGTTACAGAATACATACTATATGTATATTTCAAAAGTTACGGTTACCACTGAGTAATTTAATAAAATACAAAACAATGGACACTCTGAAAACGGTTAACATTTCGTTTCACAACGTTTCGACTAACTTGCAGTCATCATCAGGAAATTCCTGATGTTGACTGCAAGTTAGTGGAAACGTTGAATCAAAATGTTAACTGTTTTCGGAGTGTCCATTGTTTTGTATTTTATATATATTTCAGATTGTCAACTTGTTATTTTTACAAATGGGGATTGGCCTTCATCTGAAGTATTTATAGTTTGCTTCTCTGTTATACACCAAATTCAATAAATGTTGTCACATGCAATAGTCAATCGTACAATAGAGCGTGCAAATTTTATGATAAAACTGTAAAAGTGTTCATGTGATTGGCAATGCTTTCTTCAAAGTGTTCATGTACTGTAATTGCCAATGCTTCATTTCGGGAAGGTTTTTCAAAAAAAAATCCTGAGCCACCAAAATTTGCACAGAACTTGACATTAAAGCTTGCAATTAATATGTAGTGATGGGCGATTACCGATTACTTGGTATCGATACCACCGATACCAGGCCCAAACAGGAAGAAGTCGATAATACACAGTATCGAAAAAGTGGTTTGATTACTTTTAAAATTAGACATTCATTATAATCCTGTAGTTGTGTGTGTCATCGTTTTCATGGTAATTTCTAATAAAATTTATGTACTTTTTTGTATTTTGCTGCATTTATCAATTTAATCAAACTTCCTTTATACTTTATTTGACATTCTATCCTCGCCGACAGAATAAATTATGAAAAAGGCTGGAAATATAAAGTAATTTTTGTTTTTTTATGGATTATGGATTATAGTTTTTTATGGCAGATCGAATCGTTACTGTTAAAAATATGTAACTTTCTGAAAATATAGTGTTACTGTTACAGTGGAAGCTAAACTACTTCTTTAACAGTCGGCTCTTTATTAAGTGACTTACACTTGTTATTTTGAAAATTGGAGGAAGTAATCGTTTGGGTAATCGATACTTTAACCAAAAAGTAATCGGTATCGTATCAAAACCGATACTGGTGGTATCGCCCATCACTATTAATATGTACTTTGACTACAGCTTTTTGGAATCAGCTGTATACTTAAATATGAACCAATAGTTTATTAGTATCATACTTATGTACTTTTGTATTTCAATTTCTGACCCATAAAAGACTACAATGTTTCAATGATTATGGTACTTATATTGGATTATCTTGATAAAATGTGTTTGATGAGAGAAGTTTTTGTGGTCAGGTTTTCACATTTTTTCAATATTAACATATATATTGTATGTCACTACTTTACCAATAGACCTTACTGATTATTCTCTTTTACCCAATGGCCTTGTTTCCATGTTAACTTATTTTAGCATGTCAGGGGTGGATAAAGATTATTCCCACGTTTTCCTGGACGAATTTGTTTCTTGCTGTTCTTATGCTCAATAACAAAGTAATTTTCAACCCTACTATTAAAGATAAGTAAGTATTTGAAAACGAGGCCATTGGGTAAAAGAGAATAATCGGTAAGGTCTATTGTTGACTTCAGGCTATAGTTATTACTCATTATAATAAGGGCTTATTGACCGAGCGCGAGGTCTGTAATGTGAAATATCAGACCGAGGTTTCTTAGTATGCCAAAAACAGAGGTCTGATATTTCACAGTACAAACCGAACAAGCGAGGTCAATAATCGGTTTATTATATGGCTGAACTGTGTCTGTGAGCATATGCTTTTCACGCCAATTAAATCGGCTATCATCAGTTTCACTGGGTAACAATATACGGTAGGCATGCATGCTCAATCAAAAACAATTTGGTTGTTTGAAATTTTTATCTGTAAATTTTAATGACACACAAGTTTGCAAGGGTGAAACATCTAAGAAAACCACTATACACAACTTAAATTTCCCTGGACACTGGTCCACATACAGAAAATACGGACCACGCTCCAGATATGTGTTTTTACAGATCGCTTGTCAACCAATCAGAATAGAGTATACAATATAATATACAATATATAATCTTATTTCTATTATGGTGCAGAACACAGATACTATAGACTTATGAGTCAATTTCATATTAAACTGACGTTGCTATGCGACAATGAAAAATTTATTGTCTCATTTCTATACTAGGTTTCTATGCAATGAATTTTTCGTTGTCCTGTAGCAGTGTTAGTTTAAATATGAAATTGTTTTTTCATAACTCTGAGAATGGTTCTGAAATAGAATTACAAGTCAGTTAGTAATACTTTATGTTAGTCATCAATATTTTTGTTCTCTGCTAAAAGTTGTCATATAACATCAAACAAGGATGAGAGTTGACAAGAGTATGTTGATGGCATAAAATCTTGATGAACATTTGAACACATTTTAACTTTAACGAAATATGTGTAACTGTAAAAGTTAATACAGCATTTACCCTGCTGGCAGTGATTTCTGAGCCCAAGCTCAGCTCAGAAACCACTGCTAGCAGGGTATACAGCATTAAGAATGGTGACACTACCAACTCTCACCCTTGTTTGATCCAGACTTACTGTTTTAGTTCTAAACAACTATGTATTTCTCATGCAAAGACAAGCCAATGAAACACTAACAATGAACAGAGAGACAATTCTCCCAGAGAGAGCAACCCAATAACTAGCATGACTCTATTGTTCATGTATGATCACCTGACTTGGCATTAGAGTAAAATAATCTGTCCCCATATAGAGTATTATAATAATAAAGGGTCACATTAGCGCATTTCACCAGTCAATGGGTTGATCAAATTTGTGATTGTGTGAACTATAATGAATGTAGATTTAAGTCATTTTAAAACAATTCTGTTGTAAGTTGTTCACTCACTGGATTGTTCAGCTTCCTGTACTAAAATTTCCTATAGGAATTCCTATAGGAAATCAAAATTCCTATAGGAATTCCTATAGGATTTTTCTTGTGGCGATCAATCCATTCTTCAAATTTAACCTTGTCCAATGAATGGGTTGGATCATGTGAGATGCCAACAAAGGTCTCAAACAATCGACCCTCTTCTTCCCTAAAAGGCCTTAAACTTCTTAAGTCCACACTAATAATTTTCTCGTCATCAGCAGATTGTTTGTGGCTGTGTGACCCTGATTTTGGGCAAATATTCACATTCTCCTCAAACGCTTCCACAATCTTTGAGACACCTCCAGATGCTTTGCTTGCTCTCTCAATCGCTTTCTCCGTCTTGTTGGCACCCATCGACCTGATCAACTTCTTCAACTCGCAGTTTCTGTTTTCCTGAAAGAGGTAGATGTTATACATTTTAAGACCTAGCCAGGAACAACCGCGAAAAATGCGGCACAAGGTCCTCTGTATATTAAGTCATATTCTGTCTGTGCAGTTAGACAGGTAAAGGTTTAATACCATATGCTAGCCGCTAGCATCAGGCAGAGTAAAATAACATAATTGGTTGCAATTTGTAAGAAATGGTAAATAAATAAAACAACTTACATTTACTGATGCTTGGCCTTCTCTTAGCATAACCAAGTTTATGCGTTGAATTCTGCTTGCTTCATGGCACTGCAGGAAGTTAATAATGCCATAAATTAAGCAGATAGCAGGATTCTTCTTCTCAGGATATACTGCACTTTCCAACAGAAGCACACAGGATGTTGTTGACAGTTGGGCATCTGGTTAACAACTCTCCTAGCACCTCTGCCATCCAGGTGTCAGCTGACATACCATCAAAGCCCCTTTGTCTGAGGACAGATGGCTGACTCCTTCTGGCAACATGAATCAGTTCTTTGTTTGCCTCAGCCAAGATCTGAAATTGTTTAAAATAATAATATTGAAATATTAATAAGATATCTTTCCAGCTTTTCAGATTTATTGTTATCAAATATAATAATAGTTAATAAGATTGTGATCTAGGTTTTGACAGGCTTTCAAGGTCATGACCTATAAATACTGTATGCATATTTTATTCATAAATGAAGCAAAATAAACCAATTCCAAATAGGCAAGACATCCAAGCAAGACATCTTGAAAATATAATACTTGATTCAAAACACGATGCAGGTTGAGACAGAATGAAGATGACTTTTCCTTTGAAATAAAGTTAAAACAATTAAAGTCTCAGCCTGCATCTTGTTTTGAATCAATTTGTCAATTCGAATTTGGTATAAATACAGGCTCTTTAGTATAAATTACTGAGAACCATATTAAAATCTATAAAGTTTGAACTAACAATACAAATAAGGGAACAGGGAAACAAGAGCTAAACTAAAGGTGAAATACGAGTATAAAGTCTCGTAACATGTGGCCATGCATTCGGCATGGTCATGGTGTCTATTGATAAATCATTCATGAATATTTAAACATCTTATTACAGCGCTAAATATTCCACAATAAATACTAAAATTGACTATTGTTAACACATGAATATTTGACTAAAAGCAACTTACATTCAAATAAATGTAATGGAGTAACACTCGACTCAGATTCACCAGGGCCAATGTTGAAGTTGATACAATGGCCCAGTTTCAACCCCTTGAAATGTGAAGCAGTAACTCATATTATATTTGTGATGTTACTCTGCGTGTATATCCACACCAGACGAGCTTGAAAAATATGCCTGGCCACGGTGGGATTCGAACCTACGACCTTTGGAATACTAGCCCAATGCTCTTCCAACTGAGCTACGCGGTCAGGACGGTTCAAGTAAGTGATATTTCGGAACAGAATCTAGTTCCTTCGATACCAATGTAATCTAGTAATATGATTTGTTTTTGTGTTGGTGTTGTGTACTCAGGTGAATATGATATTTGTGATCTTACTCTGCGTGTATATCCACACCGGGCGAGCTTGAAAAATATGCCCGGCCACGGTGGGATTCGAACCTACGACCTTTGGAATACTAGCCCAATGCTCTTCCAACTGAGCTACGTGGTCAGGACGGTTCGAATCCCACTGTGGCCGGGCATATTTTTCAAGCTCGCCCGGTGTGGATATACACACAGAGTAACATCACAAATATCATATTCACCTGAGTACACAACACCAACACAAAAAAATCTTAGTAACTCATATTATTGAGAAACTGTCAATTATTTGATTTTCTTAAAAAAAATTAAAATGTTTATATATCGAAAGCTACTAAACGATAGTGGCTTATGCACCCTTTAT